TCGCGCCCCGGCTCTGCGCCTGTCGTAGTCTGCTTGACCCGCTCGGCGACCACCGAGCAGCCTGCGCGACCTCCGGCGCCCTTGCCTCCCGCGCTCTCCCGCTCGAGCGAGCTGTCGCCAGCGTCTGCCAGGAGGCTGGTGCTTGGGTCGCTCGCAATGTGCGCCTTGCCGACATGAATCTCCCCGTCCCCGTGCCCGACGCGCGCCGGATAGAGATCGTCTGCAATGGCCTCCCGCTCTGGCATGGAGCTCAGCTTGCTGTTGACACCACCTGTGTCAGCCCCGTCACTCGCTCCGGCGAGCCGCGGCCCGGAGCTGACAGTCAGCCGGGCCTCGCCCTTCTGCAAGCAACGCGGCGACAGCGTCGCGACACCTAACCCGAGCTATCGCGCTCGCCGCGATGCCACCTCGTCGTATTCGCTGTTGAGATTGGTGGCCGCTGGGGCTCCCGCTCCCATTGCTTCCCCAAAAGGCCACTCGTGCCAACCCTCTGCTTGGAGGCCTCAAACGCACTCCTCAGGCTCGGCGCACATCCACCGTCGGTAGCGAGCAAGCGCGTGCGAAAGCTGGGGAACGCTTGTGGAGCTCCGGTAATGCGTCAGCTCATGCAACCCAGTATGCGGCCGGCGCTGTGCGAACTGCAGCATGTAAGCCGAAGCCTCCGAGGGCGGCCGGTTAGGTCGCCACGTTTTCCGCGTGTGCGACGTCTGCTTCGGCTATGCCGCCGAAGCAAAGCTCCAACGTCTCCCATATCGCCGCGTCATGTGTGTGCGCATAAGACGCCACAGCCTGCGGGGGCACGGTGCACAGCGCGTGGTTGGCACGCGCACCGCAGATCAGGAAGCAACGGGAGCTGGTGCAACTGTTTGTGAAGCGAGCACAAATCCGAGAAGTGTACCAAGGTCGAGTCCTCAGAGTTCGTGCACGGGTGCATGGCACCCGCGCAAGAATGACACGCACAAATCGGTGCGAACTTGGCTCAAGAATCAAAAGACCAAAAAAATCGAGTGTTATGGTTGTGAGTTTTTTTCCCCCCCACACACCTGGTTACTGCCAGTACGAGCGCGGTCCCAGTGCAGCTACAGCTACTGCCTACATTGGCGCCGGGTGGCTTTTAGGCCCTGGCCGGAAGTCGGCTGGACGCAGGGGCGTAGTCCCAGCGTGCATCTTGCAGGACCTCATGCACGGCCGGTTCGCCGGCAGCAGAGGCGACGGTGTCGAGGGGGAGCTCGAGCAAAGAGCTGGCGAGGGCCCTCTGAGCTGCGACAGCGATGATGCTGCTCCAGCGAGAGACATAGGCCGCACGCAGAGCCGAGCGAACGGCTGCGTGCGCACGTGCAGCTCGCGCTCGTGCCAGGAGCCTCAGGAAGGTGGCAGGCTCGGAACCCGTCCACCTTGCATGACCGACCAGGGCCCGGGCGACTGGTCACATTGATGGCAGTGCTGTGCATCGCGTATTCGAACCTCTTACTTTCGCGAACGCACGCTGCTGCCTTCCCTGTCCCCTTCCGGCTGCGCCTGCGCCCGCCCTTCTCCGGTCGCAGTCTGGCCCAGGGGTCCGCTATTCCGAAGCATTCTACTCAACCCCAGCGAAATGTGTATCAACGCCTGGGGTCTTGGGTGGCTTCCGTAAGTGTGGGTTTTGGGAAGTTTCGGGTGCATCGGACCAACTGAATTCACGCAGCTGCCAAAGCGAGGCGCCAATCACTACGTTGCGCTAATGTGCGGCGGGGTGAGGTCTCCCGTGTGCAAGAGGTGTTTTGCGGCCGGCACGGACGAGACATAATTCGCCGCCCGGTCTGATCCGGCACGGCGCCCGCCATCCGCCCCTGCCGACCTCCTCAACTTCCAGCCCGACTCACCTGAAGTGCTCACCCACGCTGCGGTCGCTCAGGATCCGCCCGCTGCCAGGTGTCAGGTGTGGCACCGCCGCTGGGTTGTCGGCCGACACGAACAGCACGCGAGCTGTTATTATTCTCGCCGCCGCACGCGTCCCGCTTGGGCCTCTCCCGCCTCACCGCGCTGCGCAAACCCGGCGGTGGCTTCCGCGGCATCGCTATACCGGCGACACTTTCCAGCGTCTCGTATCCCTGAGCCTTTGCTCGGATATTCGCCGAAACTTTTGACGAGGCGACCCGGACGCGCAAGTTCGCGCTGCAGACACGACCGACGCCTTTTCGGGCATGCTCCGAGCCGCTGTCGACCTCGACTCTGGGGAAACAATCGTGTCGCTCGACGGCCGCGCTGCTTACGATACTTGTACCATCTCGCGTACCGCGTTGCTGCACAAGCTGCGTCTAGATGAGCGCCGGCCAAGAAGTTCATGCGCCACCAGCTCCTTTAGGTTTACAGGAAGCCGCGCCCTTCGCAGGTATCAGTCTCACTGGAGTACAGGCAGTCCGTGTGCAGCGTTTGCCACTAGCTGGCTCTTCCAACTTGGCCATGGCCAGCATCTCCGATGATTTCGACGCCCTCGGGCGCTTCGTCCTGCGAGGCTTCGACAAGACCAAGCCGATGAGTTCATTCCTGCCGGGGGTCGGTGGCTTCTGGGGCTTGCCGATGTGGACGTTCTATGTTAACCGCGGGCAAGGGATCTCATGTTTTGGTATCTTGAACAAGGACGGACCAATCATGAGGTTTGAGTCAGCAGAAGCAGCGTATCGCACTACTGCCCTACAGGGTTTCCGGACATTGATGAATTTGCAGCGGCCTGGCCTACCTGCACGTTCATACCAGCCTTTCTTTAATGAAGGGGAGGGGACGAGGGACATGTTGATCGGCATGAACGAGATGGAAATCCGCGAGATTAACAACGATGTCGGCCTGAAAACGGAGGTTCTGTACTTCACGGTCCCGAACAAGGAGTTTCCGGCCCTGGTGAGAAAGGTGTCTTTCACCAACTTAGGCGACACGACTCTGCACATCAGTCTCTTGGACGGTCTCATGAAGTTGGAGCCCACCGGCATTCCGCACGAGAACCTTGTCACAATGGGCCGAACCATGGAGGCATGGAAAAATGTCTACAACACGGAGGATGGCGACATGCGGCGACCATTCTTCCACATCAGCTCCGATCCAGCGGACATTGCACAAGTCAAGGAGGTCGAAAACGGGCATTTCGTTGTGGCATTTGTTGATGGAGAGTACAAGCTCTTGCCGTTTGTCGTCGACCCTGCGGTTGTTTTTGAGCATGACACATCCCTCAGATGTCCTCATGGCTTCACGCCATCCACCTCTCCGGAGGCCTTGGCTTCAGGCGAGCAGTGCAAGTGTGCAAGGACGCCTTGTGCTCTTGCAGCCGCCTCTCAGTGCCTAGCGCCAGGACAGAAAGTGACGATCACCTCCATCTACGGCCATGCTTCAAACATCACACAAGCGGTCGAGAAGTTCATCCCGAAGGTTTGCACGCCTGGGTTTGTCGACAAGAAGATGGAGGAGGCAAGGAGCATCCCAGGCACTTTGGCCAAGAAAGTGGAGACTCAAACGGCGTCCCCCATCTTCAACCAGTACGTCAACTTCAACTTTTGGGACAATTTGCTACGAGGCGGACTTCCCCACATCCTCGGCGACCTGGGTAACGGTGCCAGGGACCATCCAAAGGTATATCACTGCTTCAGTCGCATCCACGGTGACATGGAGCGTGATTACAACAACTTCCAGCTCGACCTCACTTACTTTTCGCAAGGGCCGGGCAACTACCGCGATGTGAATCAGAACAGACGAGTTGACGTCTTCTTCGAGCCTCGCGTTCGGGATTTCAATGTGCGCCAATTCCTCTCGTTCATCCAGGCTGATGGCTACAACCCTTTGTCAGTCGCTACACCCCTCTTTAAGATGCCCGGCGACAGCAATCTCAGCCACTTCCTGGCGCTAGTCACGTCATCCGCTGGAGCAGCAGTAGATGAGTTGAAGAAGCTGCTCCAGGCGCCCTTCCGTCCTGGGGACCTCTTCAAGGCCAGACACACACACACACACACACACGCACGTGCAGCGCATGTGCAGCTAGGTCAAGAGAACCTAGACGTAGCCAATGTCAAGACAACGTCGCGTTAAGTCTCATTTCTGGAGTGCAGGAAGGTCTTCGGTATGCCGAGTATCCTATTAGATCCAAACCTCATGACAGCAGCAGGAGATCCGACAACCGGAAAGCATCAACACAAGAAAACAGAACTGACTCTTGCCTCTCTGCAGTCGCAAGAAGGTGCAGGGCGGAAAACACCCAACTAAGGATTGAAGAAGCGCACCTCGAAAGCTGTCAGGGTTCCATGATTTCGGGTGAGCTTCGTCTCTGTACATGTAATGCCGTCAAGCCCCCAAATTCAGACAAAGGCGCAGCTTCCTTGGGCATCAGTAAAGACTTCGTGAACCGGAGCATGCATCCACGCATCAGCAGATTCAGTTTAACAAACAAGCAGGAGCACTCGACAGCGACGAGAACAAGAATTCGTGGCAATGGCAACCACAACAATCCGACAGCGACAGCGACAGCCAGAGCCGCAGCACCAGCACCAGCAGCACCAGCAGCACCAGCAGCACCAGCAGCACCAGCAGCACCAGCAGCAGCACCAGCAACGGCCGGCGACCCAACGGCGATCGGCGATTGACGACGACACAAAAACTGGGGAATCGACACAACAATACAGAGACGACGACGATAATAGCTACAGCAGCACCAACAACAACGAATAAGTTGCAGCGATATATACATCTTGTCCCACTTGCAGTGTGTCACACATCGATTCTTCTTCCTCTGCGGGGGAACTTCGGATCTTCAGCCAGCTCACAAGAGTGAATAGGCATTTTGGTCACCACGAAATGCCTCACACAACTCAAGCCCTGGCACTGCCAGTGCATCTGGGGGATACCAATTAAATCCCGCGACACTTTCGAGCTCGCACAGCTCTCTTTGGCGCGCATACTTGGTTTGAGTCAGCTGAGGAGCTTCGGCAAGTTTCGCAAACATGTTCTCGCTCGGGGTCTGCTGTATGTAGGTCGCTGAGCTGTGCGGTACAAACACTTGGTGTAGCACGTTGAATTTGCCACTAGATGCCTTGCCCCGGGGCCTGGTCAAGGCCATGGAGAAGCAAGGGTGCAGTCTGGAGAAGATCGGCAGCACTCTCTCGCGCGAGCAGTTCCTGCACCTTTTGGCACGGGAGGCCCAGGAAGTGCCGGTGGCGAAGTACAACCAGAACGGGTTCTGGTCGGACCATTGGGCGTACAATATGGATCTCCTGGACAATTTCCTCACCATTTACCCGGACAAGGAATTCGAGCTTCTGTTCGGCCTGGAGCCCATCCCCTTCTTCCTCTCACCTTCCACAGTGCAGCCGCGTTCCAAGAAGTACAGAAAGCTTAGCAACGGGACCGTGATCCAGGTGGATGCTGTTTTGGATGGGGCGAACATCGCAAAGCCTCGAGAACAGCTGATCACGGCGGCCCGCAGTGGCAACGGTTATGTCGAAGACCCACTTGGCAACAACAACGCGTGGCACCTCGACGCTACAGGACACCCCATGGTCGTCTCAGCCCGATCCTCGGTTACAGCTTTGCATGGCGCCGAGTAGACTAGGCTTTCGGTGCTCAGTAATTCTCTGGCCAGCATCCAATCTCACACTGTTGAGCTACTGTATTGTGTCCGTCTCTGAATGCAACTGCATAGCGCGCGATCAACATAACGGCATGCAGGGGCAACACAAAGGTCGATGCCAGCTTGACGTTTGCTGTCAACATCCACCAAGATCACCATCACAATGAATCATAGTCATTTTCATCGTCAACGCTCCCTATGTAATGGCCACCAGTCTCATTGCCATCGTCACCGTCGCTGTGAGCTACGGCGGCCGCGGCTCCTGTGGCGGTGGTTGCGCTGGCGGCAGTGCTGTCGGCGTCAGCGTTGTCGTGGTATTATTCAGCGTCCTCGTCGTCGTCGTGGTGGTCGTCCTGGTCGCAGATGTCAAGCTCATCGTGGACATCCGGGTCATGGCAGGTCCCAGCAAAGCAAGAAAAAAACACAGGAACAAGATGCAGCTAACCAAAAAAAGACACAGATTACTTCTTCTCCTGTTGTCGTGGTGGCTGTTACTCCCGTTGTTGCTGAAGGTTGGCTGAAGGTTGGCTCTTGTTGGTTGCTGTTCGTGGTGGTTATCGTCCTTGTTTACACTTTCGTGTCTCGGCTTTCAGACTTCGCATGTTTTCTCACCCGCTGGCGCTGTCCTGCGGAAGTCCTGCGTGGTGGAAAGCCTGGAAAGTCTGGAAAGCTAGATTTCCCACGTGAGGTTGGGTCCAAGCTGCTGATCATCGGGGTTCTAAAGTTTGCCACGCTGGACCCTCTCGGCATGGGCATCCAGATGGAAACCGGCAAGCCAGGTTGGAACGATGCGATGAACGGTCTCCCTGGCATTCTCGGATCGACCATGCCAGAAAGCTATGAAACGCTGCGAGTGTTGAAGTATTTGAAGAAAGTCATCCAGCGCTACCCAAAGCAGGACTTCGAGGTACCGACGGAGATGCACACGCTTTTGCAGGAGGTGGAGGCGCAGTTGGGCAACTACTGCTTGACGTCGCTTGAGTCTCAGAACATCACTGGCAAAGTGCCATCGGCTGATTTCTCTTACTGGGGCGCAGTGAGCACAGCACGAGAGGTCTACCACGAGAGCATTCTGGGACCCTTCTGCGGCAGCAAGCAGCCGTGGAGCAGCAGTCGAGTTGCTACTCTGCTGGACAAGATGGTGGCCAAGATGGAGCATGGCATTGGGAGAGCTTTGAAGTTTGGACAAGGCATGACTCCGTGCTACTTCTCCTACAAGGCAGAGATTAGAGTTGACAGCGACTCCAGCGGCGAGGTTGCCGTCCCATTGTCGTTTGAGATGCCGACTGTGTACCCTCTCTTCCTCGAGGCCTTTGTGCGCCAGCTGAAAGTCACGGAAAGCAGCGAAGATTGCCGCGAAGTGTACAGGAAGGTCAAGAGCAGCCCACTCTATGACACGCCATTGAAGATGTACAAGGTCTGCGAGTCCTTGAAAGGCCAACCTCTGACCCTGGGCCGCATGCTCGCGTTCCCTCCGGGCTGGCTGGAGAACGAGTCCATCTGGCTACACATGAGCTACAAATATCTGCTGGAACTGCTCAGGGGTCGCCTTTTCGCGGAGTTTTTCGACGAGATCAAAACGGGCCTTGTGCCTTTCATGGACGTGAAGCGCTATGGCCGCTCTCCATTGGAGGCTTCGTCCTTCCTTGCTTCTACAGCGTTGCCCGACAAGCGGCTTCACGGAACCGGCTTCGTGGCGCGCCTTTCAGGTTCCACAGCCGAGATGATGTCGATGTGGACTTTGATGTTTGCCGGCCCACAGCCTTTCCGCTCAGACGGAGCTGGGTCGCTGGAGTTGGCTTTCGAGCCGGCACTGCCTTCCTGGTTGTTCAAGGACGACGGCACTGTGTCCTTCACGTTCCTAGGCTGCACGAAGGTCACCTATCACAATGCAGCACGCAAGAACACCTGGGAACTCGATGCACCGCAGCGTTTGACCTACTCCACGGTCGACGGTGTAAGCAAGACACAAAACGGTGGTGTGCTGCCCCGGGCTGAAGCGCTTCTGGCTCGAGAGCTCAAGATTGCCGCCATCGACGTCTACTATTGACTGGGCCGTGCGTCCCTGTGCGCAGTGATGTTTCAAACAACTCTTTAATGCAAGTTTTCAGGTGCCTAGTCACCGCAACCCACGGACAAAGAACCACCGGGCAAGCGGCTTTTCAGCGTTTCAATTTGGATTGGAGAGCCCATAGTGCAGCGATCTGTGCAGTAGACTGTAGACAAGGCAGGCTTAGGATGCACCTGCTGCGTGACTGCAAGGCAGGACGATCCTCTGTCGAAACCAGATGCATGCATCCTGCTACAGCTGACCACTTGTGCTGGGCTGATGTAGGGCCGCATCATTGACTCCGGCTGCTTGCCGGAGGGCTATGATAGACTCGCGAAGAAGCACCAGGTCACATAGAGACTGTTTTCGCGCAGCCCTCTCCCAGCTCAAGCGTCCGTGATCTTGTGTGACCACATGTTGTCAATGCGGTGACGCGTCTGCGCTAGCAACATGCAGTCCTGTCTTCGTGACTCAGCTGCATTGGGGGATGGATGATGACGATAGCTGGAGAAGTCAATCCGAAACTGTTGTCTGGCCAAGGACCCCGAGCTCTTTGCCAGGAGCCTTGGGACGCAACCCTTGCGAGTCCGATCAAGGCTGCGTGCTGCAATGCTGTTTTAGAATCTCGATGCAGAGACAGAGTGGCTGCAGTTGAATGGCATGCTTAGCTCAAGGAGCCCCTGCTGTCGTGCGTTGTAGTAGACGCAAATCAAAAAAGTCAGCCGCTGCATCTTGGGCGAAGGGCGGGTGTGGGATCAGAGCCTGGGTTCAAAAGCGAGCTTTGTCGGTTGTTCTGAACCCAGAGCCAGGCTCAGAGCCAGCATTGTCTGGAGAGAGGGTAAGGAAGGGTAGCTGCTTTCGCTTAAAACCGAAACATGCGGATGTGGAGGGGAGGTTTTTTGAGATAAGCGCTCCGTTGCCACGTTTGCGGAGGAGCAGAGCACAATACACTCAAATAGGGTGGGCCGTGCGTATCCGCCACGGTACCAACGGCTGTGCTGGCCGCCTGTACCCGTTGCGACTGGAGGTGTCCTCACTGTCGCTGCAGCTGCCCGCCTAAGACATCATTGCAGAAACGTTGCTTGCACAAACGTTTCCCCAAGACATTTTCTCCAGGGTTCGAGCACGGGTATGCCCTCATATTCCGTGGTCTTGGCCTGGAGGCAACCAGCAGCAGAAGCAGATGTGCTGTCTCGGCCTGCCGCCTTGACGACGTGTGGTTTTCTTGTGATCGCACCAGTACAACTATGTCAACGTGTCACCTCTGGTGCTGTCGCTGAGGTGGGCTGGCTTGCCATGGTCGGTGCTGGCTCCGGCAGGTGTATGCAACTCGCAAGCATGGAACATCGACACAGCCATGCAAATATTCACCCGGCCGTCCGAGGCCATGCAGCACGGCATCGTATGGTCCAGTTCCAGGCAGGTAGAAGCCCTTTGCTTTGGCAGTAGTCACACGAAAGAATTGCCAGGAACATCCAGCGCCTTGAGGAGCACTAGGCTCAGGCCTAGGCATGCCCTTCCTCCGCCGCAGTCCTTGACAGGCCATGGCCGTGGCCCTAGCACGCCTCAACTTCCACAGTGCCTGCGCTGAGACAGCGCTTCTTTAGCTCAGGCCTGTTGGGCCTGTCGGGCCTGCAGCGGCACGGAACGCGGGCCTCACCGCTCAGTTTTGCTTTGCCTCTGTGCCGTTTCCTGACTCGACCCAGTTCGAGTGCATGTGGCAGGTCCTGCGGCATGGCTTGCCCGAAGTCGCCGCACTCTCAGATTGTGAATCTTCGACAGAATCAGCAGAAGGCTCTGCAAGCTGCAGGCAATTCTCGGTGGCGTCGTGCCCTGCCTCAGATTCTGCAGAGAGTTCACGGAGGCTGCCCAGCCGCACTCATAACCTCGTTGCCGTTTTTCACAAGGCCCTGGTCGGTGCTTTGAACCGGCCACGAAGCGCGCCTGGTCCATCAGCGCGCTTGGTGCAGGACTTCGAAGGTCAGAGATGGTCAAAGGCATTGAGCACAGCGCAGGAAACCGAACGGCTTCGTGCAGAGCTGGAGGCCGCACTGAAATCCCTCGCCGACTAGAGCTCGCCTTTGCGCTCTGCAGTTTGCAGATTGCACGTTTGAAGGCGGCCAGAAACGAGGACCTCGAAGGTAAGGGTGGAGCAACTCGTACAAGGCTCCAAAAGGCACGGTGCATGGCCGTGACCAACATGTCACGCCACTTCTTGCTCGCCCAAGAGGCCCTTCGGCGTCTCTCCAATGTACGGGCCCTTTCTTGGGGCATGGCGTTATTGCGATTTCTGTTTTCTGCATCATCAACCCATCGCCAATGGCTTGGTGCAGGTAGAGGCAGAGCTCGCATCTGGGCGGCAACGAGCGAATGACTCGAACCCGGTCGCATTTAGTCCACTCGCAGGAGGCGGCGCAAGATGATCAAGATCAATATCCAGTACCGAGCTACTTGGAGGAACTCCTTGCCCAGAGCGGGGGGGGGGGGCAGGGCGGCACAAAAACGGTCATCATGTCTTGGGAAGGAGGCGGCCAACAGTGACGGCCCAAGGAACAGCCAGTTCCGTGCAGGGCTGTGTGTATATTATTATGCAACAGCGTAGCTGTTGAAACCCGAGGTGGCAAAATTATGCTGCGGACCTGGCACTGTCAACCTCCTCCATGGCCACCTCTCTCTCTCTACCCTTTCTTTTTCCAGCATTTTGCACAAATTCTTTACGAGGCTTGCCATCACTGGGGCGTCTGGTGTTGGCAAGTCATCCTTGGTTAATGCATTCCGGAGGCTCCCTGAACACCAGGCTGCAGAAGCTGGACAAACGTGTCACCGTTGACTGCCAGGCTCCGGGACACCGATGCAAACGCAGCAGCGACTGGAGTCAAAGAGACTACGCCACTCAAACTGCAACAGACTGGTGGGCAACACTTATGGATCCACACAGCAAAGCACTTCCCTCGTGTTGCAAATGTGCTGAGGATGGAGCCAACCATGTACAGTTTTTCGGCCAGTGAAGGCATTTTCAACCAACGATTTTACCGTCAGCTTGGAGGCTGACGCTGTCGTTACATTCTGCCTGTCGCAGTCTGTTTTCGGGGTAGTTTCCCGCAGATGGTGAAGACTTGAACGCCGGTGCTTGGACCTTAGCGAGCTTTGTTGGTGAGTAGCCAGTAGCCATGTTTCACGGCACCTTCGTTGTGGGCTTGCATGGCTTTCGCAGCAAAGCATAAGAATGGCCCCAGAAGATCCTCGCTCCAGAAACCTTTCCAGGTGCGCGTGGTGCTGGGGAAAGTCCCTGGTTGGGGGCCCTAGCTGCCCTAGCTGGCGAGACTTGACGGGCGAGCCGGGCTGGTTTCTGCAAGGTCAGACCGAGGGGTCGTGTGCCGAAGTTCTGAAAGTCGGCGAGGAGAAGCAGACAGTTCAGGTGCATTCTGAATAGGGCAGCAGAAGGCAGGCCGGCAGGCCTATACCTTTTGTGCTGCATGCAGGTGCGCCTTGATGATGAAGGCGAGGTTCTGGACGTCGATGTCAAGCACGTGGTTGGCACCGCGCTGGATGTTGTGATTTGGGATCTTCCTGGAGTTGGCACGCCGGGCGCTTACGGCTTCGATTCTTCACAAGACATGCAAGTTCTTTGGTTCTTTGGAGCTTGCAAGGCCGAGCTTTCCCCAGGCACGAAGGGACCCTGGGAAGTTCTTTGCAAGGCTTTCTGCTGGAGCACAGGCAACTTCAACCTTGTTGCACACCGCAGCATGAGCTTCAGTCATGTGGGGACGTTGGGTCACACCGTGTCTGACTGCACTGTGCTTGACATGGTTGAACCACCCGACGTGCGCAAGAGTGGTGGACTTTGAAGCGGAAGGTGGCAAGGCCGAGGATGAGTCTGAGGCCACAGAGTGGTCGAACGGTCGCTTGCTAAACGAGACCTTGAACTCCTTGCAATCGGGAGACACGCTGCTCATCCCTAAGAAGTCTTTTCACCTCATGGGAGGCATCCTTGCCGGAGCTTTGCAGAATGTGGTCATCCAAATCGATGGGTCTCTCATCTTCTCTTCAAGGAAAAAGGCTTGGCCAAGACATCCGGGTGGAGGGGTGCTGAGCTGCCTCCGTTTTGAGAATGTTGTAAACTTGACCCTGACATCATCTGGCAAAGGCACGTTGGATGGCCAGGGCAAAGCGTGGTGGGGCATCTTGAATATTTGAAGATTCAAGAGAATCGCCCCCGCCTGCTCGAGATGTCGCAGCTGCAAGGCGTTCTCGTAGAGCGCCTGTTGTTGACCAATGCGCCCTATTGGACCACGTGGTTTAGCGGAGTCGATGGTTTGGAGATTCGATATTCCGACATTTTGAACAGGAGATCAGCATACAAAGGCCACGGGCTCTTTGACCTGGGAGCCTTCAATACCGAGTCTCGGCTCCGCTAGTGGCTTTGGTAGCTTCTTGGAGAAGTTGGGCTACAGGTTGACGTTCTGCGACAGCGCTGCAGTCTTTGGAGTTCGTAGAGGTTAGTGCGTCAACATGTGGGGGCTGTGAAGGACAGAAGCAGCAGCGACAAACAACTGTGCGTAAGTCAGCAACAGAAGCTGAATACAAGACTGGACATAAACCCGCGACAACATGGCCCGAGATGGAGCGTGGCACGTCATGAGCATCTAACAGACACGAACGACCATACTGCTGAGTTGCGGTTTCGTTGGAGTAGCGGGGAGAGAGAGGATGAATGAGTTATTTACGGGCTGCCGCCAGTGC